TGTATGGTATACGATTTTATAAATTTGATCTGTATGAAAATAGCCATTCTCTGTGAAGGTTTCATTAATAGAAGAATGTTGTATTTAGAGGACCTGCAATATCTAGGATTGAAAATTATACAGCATAATAAATTTTGGTATAAATATCAGGTTATTTTACTGTATAATTACCATATATTAACCTTATATACTGTATAATACCTAGAAAGTACATATAGATTTGTCATATGCTCGCTCATTCCTATGAAAATTTCATCTAGATTTCTATTGGTTAACTTTGTTACGCTAAAATTTATATCAATTATACAGAAATTTAATAATTATACTATACCAATTATACAGTTATTATACTATTTTTATTATACGGTATCGTATAATTGTCTATCTCTAGCTATACTATACCGTATTACAGTATATATTATACGATTAGCATAATACCAGTATCTATACGTATGGGTATAGATATAATACCAATACAGCAAGTAATAAAAATGGGTTGGCCAATTAAATTACTTTATCTGCAATTCTTTAGAATAATTTTGAAAAATTTCAAACCATATTAAGCTAAGAGCATAATAGTGGTTATACTATGTGATACCGTATTATACCTAGTATTATACTATATACTGTTTTTATTATATCGATATAACTGTATCTCTAATTGGTTGATTTCTGTTGATCTTCATGTGAACACGAGACAATCTGATAATCATCATGCATATTGGGTATAAAAACTAAATACAAACACATGGCTTAATTTGCAATTTTTTTTTAAAAAAAAATTTTATCTTAATATATAGCGTTATTCAAAAAACTTAACCCAAAAACAAAAGATGGAAGAAAGGTAGCAGCATTAAGACGTCAACTAAAAGTGTTAAAGATTAGTGTTTTAAAACATTAATGAGTCATAGTTTAGTATAATACGGCCTGTATTTCTGTGGCTACAGGGAGGAGCATTTAGTCATACCAAGAGTATGCTGTATCAGTTATACATAACTATGAGATCTCAGATTAAGGATGTTGTTTCTAGAAGAGGAACCAGTCCACTCCTTATATTAGGAATCTTTGCTCACATTTTTTTTGCTTATCAGTATTGCAAAACAATAAAGAAAACATCTATAATATAGAGCGATGTGATAAAAGACAATGTGAAAATCATATATTAATAACAGAAGGCCCATTATATCTATTGCAAGGTTCTATAATGCTTTCTGCACGCGAAAGAAACTTCTTTCGAAAAGTCAAGTCGGATTTTTTAAAAAGACAATCATATATTATTCATAGTTCTTATCAAAGTGGCAAGTCTACTTTATTGTTAGAATTTAAGAAGACTCTTAGACGCGAGAAATTAGCCTGCATACATATTGAAATAATAAATGTAAAAGAGTTTCTCTAAAAAAAAAAAGAAGAGAGATTTTTTCATTTTATGTATATCTTACATGCTCTTCGGAAAAACACTAAATGAAGCAACAATTTATAAACGTATCTTTGATTTAAGGATTCTCTATACCTTTTTATTGATGAATTTCAATACATATTCACAGACTCAACACTCTGTAATGTGTCCAAGCAATTCTTTCAAAGAATTGCAAGTACCAAATTATATTATATTGCTGTAGGTACTTTTATCCTTGTGAATTTGATGACAAGTTCCCAAAACCTTATATTACCTTTCAGTAAAGCTAAATTCGAAAAAATGCTATTATTTAACACAAACGAAATGGGTGGACTTTTCGAATTATATAAGCTTGGTATAAATGTAAATGGTGTACCATATGATTTACAACTCGAGATCGAAAGAGAGTCTTGTGAACATCCAACATCCTTCATAAGTCTTTTAAGGCTTTTTAATGATAAGTTGCCAACAATTGGACAGTGAAAAAAGAGATTGCATGAAAACCTTCCCAAATATATGAATGGTACTTATATCATGTTAACAAATGAAATAAACAAGATGAATATTGATGAAAAGAAGTGTATTTGAAATTTTACAGAATATATGACGGATTGTTAGGAAATAGATTTAAATAACTTAAACTACCTTGACAAAAAATTACTTACATTGGAATTCTTTATCCTGTGGACTCGAATTCAGTTGCGTTTATGAGTTATATTATGTTGCATGTTTGTATTGATGCACTTTTCCCCACACTTTCAAGATTTATACCAAAAAGAGAAGTTCCAAATGAACCCATTAATTTACTAGTGCTTGGATTAAGCTGGATTGACCCTACCATAGTTACTGATAAAAGAGTTCAAAATAAAGTAGGCTATCAAAAAGGGTTATGCAAGCATCACTTTTTTGTGCTTATTACCTAGAACACAACTTGGTTTGATGATAGTTGATGGCAAACCAAAATTTGGTAGCTTATTCACTCAAATATAACAAAATATCATCAACTGATTTGAGAAACCAATAGATCAGGCTCAAATTTATGCTAGTCATTTCGAAATTGGTGTATACCTTGTCAATTTCTTTCTAAGTGGTCATAAACCGCCTTCAGATTTTGATGATGTACCAGAAGAAATCATTATAATTAATGTTGAACACAAATAGTACATGCACACAATTTACAATTACATTACTATCGGACCCTGATTACTCTAAAGTAGTTAATGTAAAGAATTAAAAATATCATGCAAATCTGTTTCTAAATAATATATGTTACAAATCGCGAAAAATTTTTGCTTACATTGAGCTCATGATTTTTTTAATATATGTATACATAAATATGGCTAGTGTGGGTACATAAAAAATGTCTATATGCAAGTTCATATACATAATATATAGTACTCAGCATAGCGGGCTTTATCATGATTGGCTAATTTTGGAAGATCATCTCATCATAATAAAGCTTTATTAAAGTAACGA